AAAAAATTCCATGTGAAATCAACACAAGGATTCCTGTTGACCTTATTTTAGCATTGAAGAGAGACGGTCTGTGGAGACAGGGAGGCTCATAAGGGTTAATGTTCCTCCCCAGTCTCAGCTGCATGTCCTGAAAAGCCGGGAAGCCTGTCCTTGCCTCCTGCCACAGCATGTGCCATCTCTTCCAGGGAGTAGTCCCCTTTCTGTCAAAAGATAAGGAGTTCCCCTTTGACGCATGACTGGTTATTGTTGTTTATGTATAATAGTGCATCCATAGTAGGATTGTGGACATCTTGGTTTGGGTGATTTTCAGAGTTGACCTTTATATTCCATAACAAAGTACCGCAGGCTGGATGGCACAACACAGAAGTCTGTCTGTCATCTCACAGCTCCCAGGGCTGCAAGTCTGAAGTCAAGGTGTGGGCTGGGACATGCACTCTCTGCTTTTAGGGGAGGACCACCTGCCTCTCCCTGGCCTCTGGCCCCTGCAGCTCACCCTGCCCTGTGCCCAAGAGTGACTGCAGGACCCCTGGAAGTCAGGAGCTTGTCTGATGACTGACCCCAAGTTACCTGCTCCTTGAGTACTTCTTGCCTGGTCCCATGTTTCTTCAGTCACTCCTAACTCTGTGTGGGACACTCCGCATTCTACTTCCATCCATGTCTGGTCCTTGTGCAAAGCAGCTGGAAGAGTCTATCTCACGAGCATTCTACTTTTCCTCCACTGGGTCAGTGGAAGGGGGAGGCCTTTCATTGCTTCTTAGCCTTAAGCATTTGGGCACAGAATTCAGGCCCTGTAGACGGATTGTTCCCTCACAAGAGGAACCCTCTGTACTCTCTTCAGGGAGAACTCAGTTCTTTGCAGAGAGCCATAACAGAGTAGGAATGATGCATGGCATTTTTGGTTGAAAGGTGACCCCAGCAAGCCATTGAGATGATAATGATTATGTTAAGATGTGCATTCAGGGCTGGGGATGTGCCTCAAGTGGTAGCACTTGCCTGGCATGAGTGCAGCCGTGTTCAATCCTCAGCACCACATACAAACAAAAATAAAAAGTTAAAAATTCTCTCTCTCTCTCTCT